GAAATTACATTTGACATAATCTACTCCCTTCATGAAAACCTTTACTTGAATTTTTAAGGATTAGAGATTGATTTAAATCCTGACTCATGAGGTTCTATCTTCCCTTCAGCTCTGCACTACTTTTGGTATAAAATAACCATACCAATTCTGGATACTCTTGGAAATTCTTGTTATCTATGTGCATGCCTAACCTCTGTTTGAATCCTGATAAATTGCTTATCATCATCAGCATCAATGCTCTATTTGTACAGTACATGAAATACTACTGTTCATATTTTTTTTTAATAGGTATTTTTCATTTTTATACTTTTAAATTTGCCACAGCGTCACTGTTCGTATAATCAGACAGTGAATGTTTCTTGTTTACGTACCCTGTAACTAATTTAAGTATATTTTTAGTGCTTGAAGCATTTCTCTCCTTTCTGGAGTAAATAATACATTTCTATGCAGTTTGTCCATACAAGACATCTTCATTGCCCCATATGCTTGCTTTCTCTGAACACGCAGATTCCACAGAACGCATTTTTAAGATGGGCTCCCAATCTTTGCACTATAATCCAGCTGATGTATAGGGTCTATCTATACAAATATAATTTTTAAAGATCACCCTGTATCTTATTACTGTTGCAGTCCAACACTTTAGCTCCTCCTGTCACAGACGCATGTTAAACAGAAATCTGAAGTGAACTATCTGCAATAGTGCCGGGCCCCCTTGCCAGGTTTATGCAACTAGTGGACAGGTTTATTTGGATTTTTCTACAGTGTGTGTAGTTTGGTTTCCCCTGCATTCTGCAACTGTTTGTGTTTATTAGCATACATCTTCTGCTGCCCTGGTGTAAATTCAGCTAGTACAGTTAGTTATCTTCTGCTGAACTTCTTTCACTCCTGATTTGGCTAAAACAAATTACTGGGTGCCAGCTGCACGTTTTGCTGTTCAACTCTTCACCTCTGCAGTTTCAGATCATTGGTAAGTTTGTTATTAATAAAGTATTAGTGAGTATAATACTAGCTCTTTTGAACTAATAAAGGAAATTGTGTATTACATAAAAGTCGAGAGTTAAACCGTCTCCAACCGGGTAATCTTGTCGGCTTTCTTAACCTATGTTCAGAGTTGATAGCCGGGGTGTTTTAGGCAAGCAGACTGTGGTTTTCCAATTCTGGTTGTTAATAGCTAACTGATTTTTCAGCTAGTTTCATTTAGAATACTTGGTTCAAGATGAACTAGAAGTGGAGGTGTGTGTCCTCTCCTGACAAGATGTCAAGTAGCCTGGGGGCAGGGGGGAATGAGAAGAAGGTGTGCTCCTTCTGTTCTTATATGCCTTCCCTGCCCCGGACACTTGTTCTCCAGCAGGACACTGTCGGCTCACCGCCTCTATCGAGAAGTCCTGGTGTGGTGGCTGCCAGGGGAATCAGTGCCAGGGATTGGGGTGGGCCACTGCCAACAGGGTGGGGGGAGCAAAAGGATGGGGTGACGGGGAGGGCCCAAGCACCCACCAGAACAGAAAGGCCCTGGGGTACTGGTCAGCAAAGCTTGTCTAGACTAGGGGTGTATGAGTGTTTAGAAAGGATGTGTCAGGATTGGCATTCATTTGTATGGGTGGGGAGGTTAAGGTTTCAAACCAAGCATCATTTCATCTGTTCCATTGTAAATTGCGAGAAATAATAGGGATTGACAAACTTAATGTCAGACATCAGGGGCTTATTCTTACACACACTTAATAAGTGTTTGTGTTCTAGGTGCCTGGTCTTGTGTATCCTGGCAATCTTAATCATACCATACTGTTAAAGCAAACATGGAACAATGTAGTAATCGATGTATCTGGAATATGATGTCGTGATGCTCAAAAATTTGATTCCTCCTTTTTCTCACGAGTTACTGAAAAAGGTAGCAGTGAAGATGTTGGAATACAAATACTGTGATGTATAAGTGCAAGGTAAATTGAACCAAATTCAAGAGTACTTAGAACCTGGAAATAAAACGAGACTAAGAGCTTGTCCAAAACCTACAAAAGTCACATTGGAAACTTGCTTAAACTGCATGTGTCAAGATGTAAATCTTGCAGGCAGCTTCCTGCATTGCTTGGTGCTTACTATATGTTATGGGGAGGTTCCCTGTAGGTGTTTGCAATTCACAGTAAGAATTTGATTTGTGAAATGTTGGTGTTGTAAGGGAGGGAGCACGTCAAACAGTTAATGCTTTTGCTGATTACATATGCAAAAGATGATGCAAGTGTGGAAACCAAGCTTGTAAAACCAGAGGTCCTTTGCTGAATAGTGTGTGAGAGGACTGGAAATTCTTCCTAGGAAAACATTGCATTTATCAGCAGGAATTTGGCAGCATCTACCTTTGCAGACATTGCTAAATACCTGATTCAAGAGACTCCTCACTTGCACTTTTCATGTATTTCTAGTCCCATTTGTATAGCAACTGACTCCATACTGGAGTCATGTTTTCTATCAGCAAACAAAAGCATTATTAGTTTTGCAGCATACTTGAATTTGTAGCTGGGAAATTGTTTTTTCAAGTTCTTTTCAGATGCTTGGCTGGGAGATGTTACTGATGCAAAAGATCTGCTCGTGAAATGGTTCCGATGAGGTAGTCTTTTGGCTGGACTCACCATGATACATGCATAGGAATTGGGAGAAAGTTGTTGATTTGCTTACCTTGGACAAAATACTCGCAAAAAAGTGATAAAACTAGATACCTCCTTAAAAATTATAAAAATCAAAGCAAAACTTATGGTAGTTTGGTTTGTAGATTGTACTTTTGAAAATGCAGAATACTCAAAAAAAAAAAAAAAATTGAGTGTACAACATAGAGGACTAAGACTGCTAAAATACAACTTGTGTGTTAAAGTTGAGGTAGAAGTCCACTTAGACTATTGTCATTAGTTAAGTCTTTAAAAACTGTGTGGTAATGTATATTACAAATAGTAATAGTACATGGGTTTTCTTTTATGCTTTCTGGAAGATTGAATGCAGCACGGAGAAGGCTTGGTACTGTAGGAAAGAATGGAGTTATCCTATTTGCATGGACACAGGCTATTCTTGAATTCTTATAGAAATTATAACATCTAGACTACTTAAATGCAGTGAGTTTACAATTCATATCTTTCAGGGCCAGTTTACAAGTATATGCATATAGGTAGAGTATTGTTTACCCGTGAGCATTTGTCAGACTAATACCTGGTGTATGTGGGACAAAAATCATGGTAACAAAGAGAGACAGAACAAAATTCTGGGTGCTTAGAAGAATTTAACTTGCTTTTTCAAAAAATTTGTAAGTTTTTTTTCATAGTTTGTTTTTAAGGAAAATCAGGTTTAATTCTTTTCCTTATTTTCATTTCCTAAGGGTTTCTAAACTGATGTGGGAACTAAGTATTTGGTACTTAAACATTTCAGTGTTCACACACACATACAAATACAAAAGCTCATTTGAACAGTCACTTTCAATACTAAATGTACAGATTTTGATTTATATACATTGACTTGCTTGCTTTGGATGTGAGATGCAGCTACTTCTTTGAAATGCTATTTTATGTTTGTTGATTAGCAGTTGTTTACTGCAAGACAGAAATTTCATATTATACTCAGGGTCGACGTGTGATTCTACTGCTACACATCTCCAAAGCGTATTCTCTTTCTCGTAATACTGGAGCATAGTTTGCATTGAAATGGAAGTTTCTGTGACTTTGTGTTTAAAATTAAATGTCTTGAATGTGATCATGGTACTACCACCTCTATTTACACTTCTGAGTCTTTTCCTTGGAGGGCCAGTGAAGATGAGCAAGGAGAGGGGCATTTCTCCTTCTTTCCACCTTTCTTCTGATCCTGAGCATCTTCTGTCTGACGGCCCTTTCCCAAAGCAGAAATGCTCTACTGGTTGTTTTGCTCCAGCTCGGAAGAGAGGTGTGCTGCCTTGGGGTAGCCAGAGGCCTGAGTAGGTTGGGCAGTGCAGGGCAGTCAGTGCACAGGATTAGTATCGTGGCTATGGAGGTAATATCCATTCCTAATATTTGGTATTTGGAGTTCTGTGTAATACAGTGTTATTGCTATATCACCATTGGGAGCATTTCCTTGCATTTTGAAGTTCTTTTTTATATATTAAATATTTTCATACCAGTATTTAAAGAAGAACTCAAAAGTAATTTTCACAGATCAGTGCAGAATTTAACAGTCATTGCACTCTGCCTACATGCATGGGTTTGGAAGTTATGCAACCTCTTTTTATAGAGTTGTATGTTCTGGTGATCTTGTCTTGCTCAGTTACTGCTTAGAAATATAAATTATTAGGAACTATATATGATACTAAGCTTATACCATGACAAACTACTGTGTACCTCTAAATACAGAAAGTATTTATTTGTAGTAAGGTTCAAGTAGAAATGGCTTCTATCATTAAGTATATTGACTTTAAAACTACTGAGGAGAAAGGACTTAAATTGCTGTGGCATAGCACCATACAGAGTCTGGTTGTGGAAAGAATTTGCATGGAGATGTTGCATATTTAGTTCAGACAGAAGAAGGCCGAAAACTAAGTGCCCAACACAGGCGCAATTGCTGTTGGTTCTCTGCAAACTGCAGTTGCGGGGGAGAGGGAGGGCTGTAGCAGGGCACATTGTCACCTTGGCACTGAGGGAGTGCCCTTCCTGACAAACTGCTGGTCATTATTCCAAATTGTGGAGGTACTAGATTATCATAGTGCAATTGCTAAAGTAATTTTTTTTTTTAAGATGAGCAAAGCACATTTTTTCTGGTCTCATTATTGGAGGAGAGTGGACCTGTTTTTCATAAACATTACACATAGAAATATCAAATCTGAGGCAGACACCTGGCATGAAAAAATTTTGCCTGAATGCTAATAGTTTGGCAACATTTTAATAAGCAAATGAAAGCAGTATGTAGTAATGGGAATTCAGCTTTAGTGATTGCTACCAGATCCACCAAGAATAATGGACTTGCATACCAACCCAGACTTACGACAAATATTGTGATTGTAGGTAACTAAATGACCATGGAATCTGGAGCAGAGAACCAGCAGAGTGGAGATGCAGCCGTTACAGAGGCAGAAACCCAACAGATGACAGTACAGGCACAACCACAGATTGCAACGTTAGCCCAGGTATAAAATCATACGGTGTAATAGTTTTACCTACTGGATAATTTTTTTAAGAGGGATAATGTCTGCTCATGGGCCTGAGAGAAGGTTCCGTTGATAAGATTCTGAAACAGGTGCAATGTATAGTTCCTTTAATATTTGTCTTCACATTTTTAAAGCAGTAGAGATTTTAACTTCCCATCACACTAGGCTGTGTTAGTTCTGAAGAACTGTATGTGTGTAAACTGTGTAATGTTAACAGAATAATGGATGACAATATTTCTAGCATTCTTTACCACAACCATACCACTGAAAGGTATTTTTTTCAAAACATGTAATTTACTGTCTTTTCTATATTGACTGGTTTGTTTTGCTGTTATGTTTTCTGTTAGAAACTTGTCTATAGCAGTCAGTTTAATTCTGAAGAAAACAAACTGAAAATATAGATAAATAATGCAGCAAATACAACGACTTATCAGATGAGATTAATATTATAAACATTACAATCAAGTGGAACAACCTGGCATTTGACAGCTCATGTTATCCTGTTGTCTCTCCAGAATTTCACAGAATTGTTGGTTGTTTAGAGAGACAGTAGTAGTAGGTAATTTATTATCCTCAAATTATTTTGGAGAGACAAGAAATGTGTTCCCAGCTACATCTCTAATTTTGGAACCTGGTTTCATTCTTGGATACATTGGTGGTTGACAGAAGCAACTCCATTGTGCAGATGAGCACAGAATCTGTTCAGCTGTCTCTTGTAACCATTAATTGTGAAACTATTTGCAGTCTGCAAAGAACAAACAGGGTTTTTAGATCTTATAGTTTGGGGAATTGAGTGTCTTTCAAGTGGCACAAGTGTCAAATCACTTATCATTTTATAATTTATTAATGTATTTTTTAAGTCATTACACCTTTTGGTAAACCAGAGATAGTACACTTCCATTCAAGTGATAGTATAGGGGTTGGGGCTGTTGAAATGCACAGGGTGATTTTGTTGAGCGAAGCTGTAGTGTGAATTTACAGGCCACCAGCTGCCCTGCACCAGCTTGCCTCTTTGGGCAGTTTTCTCACTGTCTAACTTAGGCACAGGATGTAGGTGGTGCAAATAACACTTCAGTGTGAACTGAGTGGAAGTAGTTTATTTCTCTTGCAAAACCAGTAAACTGCTTCTCACTTGCTATGCATTAAGATTTAGTCCAGAGAAGCAAGAATGTTTTAAATTCATGTGCTAGCATACTAACCTTCAGGTAGCTGAATTTACAAGTATGCAGTGGGTTGAATGCACTTTACTTGGGTAAAATTACCCAGGTACTTGAATGAGATTTTTTTCCAAGTAAGAAAAAGCTATACAGCTCTAGTTAAAATCCACGTGAACCACAAAGAAATACATTTCTCCTAATTTCCTCTGTTGTCATTCACTGTATTATTTGTACCTTAGCTTTTCCCCAGGCTTTATATTCCTTGTGGAAGTGATGTAACAGTCTAAACATAATTCCTTGTCTTGTTCACATCAGTGTTATGTTATTACGATATTTTTAATATGTGAAGTGGCAGTGTTTGGCATTAGGGAGTGCCCTCAGAGGCATATGTCAATTTAATTCTTTCATTATCTCTTCTAAGGTCACCACTCTTGTAAGCTTAGTTTAATTGCTGCATTTTTAGGGAGTTCAGGGTAGTTTTCAGAGTCAAAAGGAAATGTGTTTCAGTTCCACAAGGTATGAGTCAGAGACATCTGCAGAAGTTACACTCTGCTGTTGGCTTAATTCAACCACAGAGTGGCCTCCATTTGATCAGCTTTGCTGTCATTGCCAAAGACTGTTTAGTCAGACTTGAATTATTAAAAAAGGTTGCTTGGTAAAGGAATATAATTTGCCAGAGGAAAGTGCGCTCATGTTAATCTCAGCCACGGTTTCTCTCACATGTGGGTTAAGTACCACCATGTAATGCTGCAGCTGTTTTCCTGAAAGAGGAAGGTAAAGACGAACACAGATTTGTGGATTAGGGAGAGACAGATGTGGAGGAGAGAGGTCTACATGTAATTCCCTTTAATTTTCTTGTTAAGCAAGATTTCCCTCTAAGTGGCGGATGTTTATGGAAATTCAGAGATCAGCTACTGCAGCTTTTTGAGAACCGCATGTTCATGGGGACAGCAGAGGATTTACTTCTGCATCCGGTACAAAGCAGCTCTTTTGAGATTAGGTAGGACAGCAGTGCAGCCTCTTCTCGCATTGTAGCTACACAGATCAAATTTCTGGAAAACGCCGTTGAACACTGGAGGATTGTTAAATTTTCCAAACCTGGGTGTCTAGAAGAAGGCTGGCTGTGGTCTGCCAGAGCAGCTGACGCTTGCCTGCAGCCCTTCCCTGAGGGCTGTGATGGTGTGAGTCGGGCACGAACCGAGGGCCGTGCACACTGGTACGGCAGCCACGGCACCCTCCTGCCTGAATTTCAGGAGCCCCCCAGCCACGAACACGTGCATCGTGTCACCAGGCAGTTGCTGAGTACTGGACGTGCACTGGGGCATCTGCCCAGCCATGTAGCAAGCTTGGTGCGTGGCCCTTCAGCCACCCACAGCAGTCCTGACCTGCCAGGGTGAGACTTCCCCGTGTGACGTGAACAGCTTTGTGTGGGTATCGCTGTCCCCGGAGCCCGAGCCCCCACGCAGGACACGCGTGGCTGCACACACAGTGCTGACATACCCTGCTGAAGTCGTTAGCGTATCCCCGCTGGCATAGCCACTGTGCCTACAGGTCTGTGCTGTAGAAACAAAGTTGTGTTTAGGAAGTGAGGGTTTAAAATGTGGACAATTTTTCCTCATAGAAATAACTAAGACTAGAGTTTGTGTTGACCCGTTACACTGAATCACAATAACTACCTACAAACCATTTCTTTCCACTGCAAACCTGTGGGTTTTCTGTCTGAACACACGGTCAGTTTTCTTGATTTAAATGGACTTTACCAGCTACTCAGTATGGTTAGTCTCTAGAAAGCCTGAAAGGTATAACTCCCTAAAAATTTTAACTTCTTACATCTGGCAAACACTTTGCATTTTCTTGAGTGAGAACAAAAATAGCTCTACTCCCATATGTTTCTGCCTTTGACTCAGCAGTGTCTGTAGGAGTACACCCAAGTCCTAGCAGTATCTAACTGAAGTAAGTGAAAGGTAATAAATGTGTTTTTATTAGGTTACCTCAAAATAGAGGCAGTTGTGTTTTTCTCACTCTTGTCAGTGGTTTTACAAGTGATGTTTTGAGCCTGCAGAAATTCTGTATTAGATTAATTTGTAAAGTAGGTCAGATATTGGTTTTAGGCAGTTCAGGGGGTTTTATATTACGCTGAAACATTTGGGTCATCTAACTGGGGTTTAGAAGAGACATAATTCTTTCATCAAAAAGTGAAAGTAGTAGTGACATAAGATTTTGCAGTAACCTAATTTATGCTCACTGTCTCTTCTTTGCAGGTATCTATGCCAGCAGCTCATGCAACGTCTTCTGCACCCACAGTGACCTTAGTTCAGCTGCCCAATGGGCAGACGGTTCAAGTGCATGGAGTAATTCAGGCTGCCCAGCCATCAGTTATTCAGTCTCCACAGGTCCAGACAGTTCAGGTACTGACTGAAGAAATTCCTAATACGTGAATTGGGCCTTTTGAATAGTCCTGACAGTTCACTGGTTTCTAATGTGTTTGTGTCCTGGATTGTGATTTTGCTTATATAAACTTCTAAGAGCAATTTGAAGGCAAAATCTGTACAGTATTTGCTACTCTGTATCTTTTTTCTGTTCTGGTTTAACCACTTTTCACTTTCAAACATTGCTGAGTTTCATTTCCTTCTAGAGTTTTGTTGGTGAGTTGTAACAGCTTCGTGGTTTTCTTACAGTACTACTCTACTTTTTCTCTCTACTGTATTTTCCTACATCTTTACTGAGTAAGAGTTCATAGGATTCTGAAGTGAACAAAAGGGATTTTTTTTTTAAATGTAATCTTTAGTCATCAATGGGGCTGATATTCTGAGATGAGAGTCCTTGCTACTTAGAAAATATTTGCATTGGTTTACAAAACAGATGTTTGTATGTTAATGGTCCTTAAAATAAACCTATCAATCCTCCCATAAAAATGATTTTACAATTTGACGGTTGAATGTTGTTTGCTTTGTAAAAGCCCTTAGCATTTTATTTTCTGTAAAGCAAGACAGATAATGCAATACAATGAAGTAGCTTGAAGGCATAGGAGTCAAGTAGTCTGAAATCTTTAAAACCTGTAATGTTTCTTATTTTTTTCCCACTTTAAGCTCAGTGTTACTGAATGCAGAAAGAGAGATTGCTTGGCATACAGCATCTACACAGAGCAAGGGGGACTGTATGTCATTCCTTTGCCATTAGCACACTGAGCTCAAAAAATATTTAGTTTTAAAAAGTAGACATTGTGACTATTTGATACAGTTATTTAGCTGGGTATTATTTTAAAAAATAATAAGGCATGCGTAATTTAAAACTAGGCCATTCTGATAATATTCTTTGTTTACTCCTTGTCAGCTTTAGTGCTGGGTTTCTGGCAGGTTCTTCCCTTCTCAGCCATTGGAGTCAAAAGTTTAGAGTTTTAATCTATTGGAGGTGAGCAGTTTTCAGATAAGTGCACAGGTTACTAACCCAGAGGTAGAAGATAAGAGACTGACAATGAAACCATGCTTGGAATTCACCTGGCTCAGTGCAAAGCCAGCCTGTTTGGATATTCAAAGCCCAGTAGTTAGCAGTCAGCCTTGGACCTATTCAGGCCCTGTATCTGATAACTGTGAGATTTGGGTGCCAGCAAGCTTTCTGAGCCTTTAGGAATCTTCCCTACAGTGCAGAAGATGTCAGGCTGTGAGATAAGTTTCTCACACAAGCATTTCTCTGTTCACTATCATTAGCTTTTGTATATTTGTCACGTGACTATAGTCTTTTGGAAAACAGTCTCTTTTTATGTATTGGAGATGTTTTTATATTTTTGGCACACTTCAAATATAAAATTATTGAAATGTGATTGATACAAACATTCTCATTTTCCTTCATAAACTTTTGTCTTTTTTTAGCACAAATGTTCAGAATTGCAGCAGTGCATTATTTTTTAGCATTCTCATGTATGACATTTTCCTGACAATTTCCCCCTGCAAATAGAGGCAGTCTCTCTGTAACATATCTACCCAATTATTTATAAATTGATGTTTCTCAACTTCAGGATTTTGCTCTTTGTTTCAAAATATTTCCGCTATCTTAATTTGGTTTTAGTCATTGTCTTCCTAAATTTTACTAAAAAAATCTTTATTTGTTTCCTTAAAATGGGTGGAAGCAAGCAATCATGGAAAGCAAAAAGTGTATGTAATTACTGTTTATATTTTCTTTCTGGAGTATTTAAATTATAAAGGACATTCTCACAGGTAGATAACTGACTGTGGTCATTCTTCACTGGATCTGTTACTGAACAGCCTGCCCTTTCTGTTCATTGCCTAGGTAGAAGCACTATAGAATACTTGCATTGTAGGGTTTTTCACAGGATGTCAGCATTTCCTTAAAGTAAAGACATTGGAAGTGTCTTGTTAAATTTGATTGCTGTTCTTATTTACAGATCTCCACTATAGCAGAAAGTGAAGATTCACAGGAATCAGTCGACAGTGTCACAGACTCACAGAAACGAAGAGAAATTCTTTCCAGACGACCCTCCTACAGGTATGGAGGTTAAAAGCAGAAGCATTTTGCCTGATGGATGCGTTCTTCATATGGGGAGATAAACAGCATCATTGTATAGTTATTTTTACATTTACCATTTAACTGAAATCTCTCTTCTGCAATGTCTTTCCATGGAATAGGATGCAAAAAGATAAGCAAATAGGAGGAGGAGGAGGAAGAAACCTCAGCTGTTACACCCAGTTAAGACAGAAATGAGCCGAGAAGCTAATTGCCATATTTGTGAAACATTGAGGTATCATTGTGCTAGGTGCCTTGAGAGATAGCTTTAATGGGTACTTAATAGATGAAATATACTGAAGCTTTGCAAGAAAGTGGCTTCTGTGTAATCTGTAGTCTGCAAAAAATCAACTCTGTTGTTTTTCATTATTGTTGAAATGCTAGCAGCAATCAAACTTAATTCCTTTATCCCATGAGACTTTCAATGAACATGTAGTGTTACATGGCTCAGAGGAAATTTCAGCTTGAGCAAAATTGGTTGCATTTAAAGTTCAAGAAGTCAGGGTATGAGTTGAAGGTAGTGCTAGGCATCTGGCATCTCTAGTTGTCATGGCAAATACTTCTGTGGTAAGACCAACTGAGGTGCTCCTTCACACGATGTTAGTCATATGTTACTTTATTCATTAAGCCCTTGCACAGCTTTTTTTGGCTGTACTAAATCTCACTTTTTGTTCTTAAAACATGCTAAATAGCATTAAGGAATGGCTCTGGAGTTCAGCAGATGTTAAGTGACCTGTGGATTCCTGCTGCTTCAGAAAATTCAGATGCTCCTTTTTTCTTTATAAGCATAGCCTTAAAAATACAAGCTAGACTCTAGGCCTGAGCATATCTCAACCAGGTTTTTTTTTTAACACTTGCCAATTATTTTCTACCTTCTCCAACAGCCTTCAAGGCTGTTCTCCTGAAGATACTGAAAACCATTGCTGAAGATCCCTAGCTATAATAGATCTGGGAAGATATTTTTATTTGTGAGGAGCAGTGTTGCTAACTTCAAGGCTGCCACAGACTTCCTTGCAGTCTGCTTCTGCAGTGAGACACTTGCTTTTACTATATATGGAAGAATGGCTGTATATCGTGAGACAACAGAGCTAAGTAAACAAGCAGCAAAACTGAGAAGAGGGTACTTATGCATGCTAACTTCTCATTAACATGGACTCCTGTGCATGCACTGATGGCACACCAGAGCCTCCGTCCTCAAACCAGATCCTGGTGACTCAGCAAAACTTTGTAATTGTACAACTTGTATACACAGCTCGGACTCTGGGCTGGCATAGGGGTCATGTCAGAAAGGCTGAGCCAGACTACTGTTGTTTTTAGTGAGTTCCTGGTTGGCATTATTTAAGCTGCTGTAACTGGCCCCAGAGAGACGATTAGGTGCAGATAGGTTCCCAGAATTCAAAGCTATACCTCTTCCTCAGAAACTTTGATCCTGCTACTGAAGTACATCATGTGTTCCCCGTGTCAGTTCATAGCTCCTGTATTTTTAAAGCTGCCACCTTCTATCTTAAATCCATCTTTATGATGGCAAAGGTAGGTTTTAACCACCAGATCATATCTGACATGAGCTTAAAAAGTGGTGAGCTGCAGTTTCTTCTTTTCTATTTTGGGCTGCTTGGGTTTTGTTCCTCATCCTCCCTGCTCCCTCCATATTTTTTCATCTGCTCTGTCTACTAGTTTTTCTGGTCTAACACCTAGATTGCAAACTCTATGGATGGGAATTTTTAATTTGTCCAAGTGGTGCTTGGCAAAGTGGAGTGCTTGTGCAATGCTGGGGTTCTTGCATGCACTCAGAGTCAAAACAGCAACAGCAAAGCTCTGTTTGTCAAGTTGCTTAGCAGAGTGACTGTTCTCCTCAGTAGCTCCATACAGATGTTCTGGCTCACAAAGCCTTAGGAGCCTTATTTAAGAAGTAAGTGTTGTCTTGGACATTGGCATCTGCTGCCGTGTTTGCTTCATCACACTTTGAGTTCTAGTGATAGTCCACAGGAAAACATAAGAGAATTACAAAAAAATTGTTACCCTTTACCTAAGTAGCATTTTGCAGCAACATAGTAGAATATGCCAGCAGTGAAGAGGGCTTGACAGTCCTTTGAGGGACAGTGTTTGGTCTAAATGATGCAAACTGCAAAACCTGGTATGGTCAGTCTTACAGTCGTGTTCAGTGGGAGCTGTGGCAGTGATGTTTTAGCAGTTTTGGCTTTGGAAAATTAACCCATGGAAGTAATTAAACAAACTGTTCTTTCCTTTACCCATGCTAATCTCACAGCTTTCTCAGGCAGGGCACCTGTAAAAGTAACTGTGTGACTTTACTCAAACACTGCGTATTGTCTCCCAGGCAGGCATTACATTATAAACTGGTTCCTCCTTCAAGCATTTTTGCTAACTTCCTTTATATTCAGCTCTCTGGCTGAGGCCTTTACGGTCTCTGAAACAGAGCAGTTCCCCTAATGTAAGTGAGGAGATGGATTTTTATGTACTTGGCTTTCTTCAAATCTTTATGTGGCTAAAAGCAGGAAAAAAGTAAAAATGGATGAGAGAGAAACATGGTTTTAAGTAAAAGGGAATGTTGTGATAGCTGTGTCTTGGGTTGAGAAGAACCTGTTGAGAAGCACCTTGTATCTTGTGTTGATTAGCACAGCTGCTCTGTGCTGGCTCCCTTGCCCATCTGTGCATGGCACTTTGAACAATCCTCTTCAATAAGAGTTTGAAGATAGTGCGGGTTTTTCATTCTGCGCCCATATTTTCCTTGCTGGCTTACTGCACTTTTCAGTTTTCTCCAGCATTATGTATCAAGTAAACTTTTTTTTTTTTTTTCCAATTTTTATTAAAATCTCTACAACACACTGTCTTTGCCAGAAAAATTTTGAATGACTTGTCCTCAGACGCCCCAGGAGTGCCAAGGATCGAAGAAGAAAAGTCTGAAGAGGAAACAGCAGCACCTGCCATCGCCACTGTTACGGTGCCAACTCCCATTTACCAAACCAGCAGTGGGCAGTACAGTATGTAGTCTGAATTTCTCAGTGGTGCTAGTAAGTGGGGATGAGAAGATGAAGAACTATTATTTCTATAACTGTTTGGACTAGGACAAAGCAGGAGGTGAAAATAACAGTACTTTAATGTGACTGTTTGATAACTGTGCCTTTTAAACACATTCCTATTGTAAGTATTTGAAATGTTCGATTAACATTCTGGGACTGCTTGCCAGTTAGTGCAGCTAAATGCATCCTGAGGCAAAATACAAACTAACCATAATGCTATTACAAACTTTTTCACTGCAGGAACAAGATGAGGTAATTCAGAAGTTTCTCTTTTTTCCTGGCAGATTATTAATAGTGGTTCACAGAATTGTAACTTCATTAATAAAAAAAAACATTAGAGTCTGCAGTTACATTCTTAGAAAGTCGTGAAAAAATAAGAAATTCATCAACCTTATTTAAAATATGTAATAAATACATGTTCCTATGTTTTCTCTATTCATTAGATTTTATAGATACAGTGCTTTGACTTGAAAGATTGAGGATACAGCAGTAAAGCTAGAATCCACATTCTGTCTCACACAAACACACACAGTATTAAATATTCAAAAGGGAGAAAGAACTACTTCTTTACATCTTTCTCTTAAAATCTCTTTTAAATTTTTATATCTCTCTTTACTCCTTAGCCACTTTGCCTAATACTCTATTTAATTTTATTGAAGCTGATGTGGTTAACTCTGCATTCCTACCATAACTGTAAAATAACTGCTTGTGCAGATACTTGAGATTTTGCTGTGTCTGTATATAGGAACACAATGCAATTCTGTGGAATCACAAATGAGGGATGATGTCTCAGTACACCTGCATGATGGTATTGAGGGAAAGAAAGGAAAAAAACCCAGCAAAGTAAGACTGCTTGAAGGAAAAAAAAAATGTGTGAAACGACCTTTATGAATGAAAACACTGCTAGGAAGGTGCTGAGGAGGTTGTAGAGAAGGGGGATAACAATCAGAAGAAAAAAAAAATGCCAAAGCAAGAAGAAAGTGAAACACAAGATGGATAGCAATAGCAGCAGAGGAGACTGAAAGGCATAAAGCATGGAAGAGGAGAGGAAGTTCAGATGAGAAGAAAAAAGAAAGGACTGAGGAAAAGACCTAAACCAACCAAGAAGAAAAATCTTAACTAACAAATTAAAAAATATTCCCTGGGGAAGGTTTATAGCTCCTCTGTGTGATGCTGTTTTATCAGAAAAACTAATGTGTGTTTTAGGCTGTGGTTTTTGCCCCCGCCCCCCCCCCCCCCCCCCCCCCCCCCAATATGGGTCTCACAGAAAATTGAAAACTTTCAAAGCATGATTTCTTTAATGTACATTAAAGCCATGTGTCTGATTTGAGGGTGTATAAGCGTTCAAGGGATTTAACTCAGATCAGTATTCTTCCATATCTAGGTTTAATACTGTAAGTTAGTGGGTAAATTAGTGTCTTAAATGCTGTGTCAATTTTTTTTTGTCTTCAGTTGCTATTACCCAAGGAGGAGCAATACAGTTGTCTAACAATGGCACAGATGGAGTACAAGGTCTCCAGACATTGACTATGACCAATGCAGCTGCAACCCAGCCCGGCACCACCATTTTACAATATGCACAGACCACAGATGGACAACAGATACTTGTACCCAGCAACCAGGTTGTTGTACAAGGTGAGAAACTTCACAGCCAGTCATTCTGTGTAACGTTTTCTCCATGCAGATACAAGTTGCCAACCTAACTCCTTCAAATGTGTCAGGAAACAGAATTAACAGGTTTGGCACAGATAAGTCTCCAAAAGGATTGACAGAAATTCTGGACAAAGCTATTTGTCACATTTTCTTGGAGCCTTTCCCTTCAAATTGATAAAATTGTGGGTATTTTGGGTTTACTTCTTAAAACAAGATACTTATTTTTGGTTTTCCATGTTGCATTTCTTGTGTTTTGTCCACATGATCTTTTTTTAATATGTTCTGCAAAAACTGATATCACTTTAGAGTTCCAGCTTCTCACAGATAGTCATCTGCGACAACAGGAAATTTAAAGCAAAGCATTAAAGTTAGGAAAGAAAGTTTTTTGATTCTTTCTATAAGGACACTTTAATTTATTAGTAATTTTTTCCCCTTTTCAATTACAAGTCATAATTTCTTCCTTTTGTGGCTTTTGTAACTAGTCACCAAGTGCTTAATCGTTGAGTCCTAGAATCATAGAATAATTTAGGAAAGTACCTTAAGGGATCATTTGGTCTAGCCCTTCATTTAGAGCAAGCAGGGCTGCTTCAACTTAGAATAAGTTAGGGGGTTTTATTAAAATATATATATATGTTTTGGTTTATTAAAAATTTTTTATTAAAAATAAAAGTGTACCCCTGTTTTTATCATTGTAAAGCAGGTGATTTGAAAGTTATCCAGTGAAGAGGTCTCCAGGCATCGGTGAAAATACATAGCTAAGAAAAATGCTATTGTTGCATTGGTCTTCCGGTTTTTGTGTTCTCAAGGACATGTGATTTCTTTAGGTGGTATTGTATTTTTTTATGAGCTCAGGCAAATACAACACAATCCTAGATTACAATAAACAAACAAAAGGAACCCAAGACCTTGTTCATTCTAGAGAAGTAGTGAAGTTAAGTATCTAGTTTGCACTGTCTCGTTGGAGTAAATGCTACATTTCTACACCCTTTTTTCTGTGCCAAATACTTACACATGCAGTTTCTCCTTTTGCAGATAGACATTTGGAGGATAGCTAGAAATACTGTTTGCCATCCTTCATCTTCTTAAAACTGCTAAAACTGCCCACAAACTAGGGAAATAAAAAGAAATATACTAAGAGAGAATACAGTAAGACAAATCAAGTTGACAAGCACAGTGAAGATTTCTTCAGCAGGACTGCCCAAAATGTTGCATACATTAATAAACTAAGACTGAGATAGCAGCGATGGCCCAGATGACAATCATCCCTCCTGTACTGTAGCCCAGAGTGCAGGGGTAGGTAGATAGATGACTTAGGTGCTCTTTGCACCACGTTTAACAGTGCTGTCACCAAACTGACATGTTCCCTTGTGTCTCAGCCGCCTCAGGAGATGTGCAGACCTACCAGATTCGCACTGCCCCTACCAGCACCATTGCACCAGGCGTAGTCATGGCATCCTCTCCAGCACTTCCAACCCAGCCAGCAGAAGAGGCCGCACGGAAGAGAGAAGTGCGTCTAATGAAAAACAGGCATGTACATTTAGATCACTTTTTTGCCAGTCAGCTTTGCGTAGAACTAGAGTGTTAAGCACTAAGAATCGTGATCTTTCTTAGTCACAATATGAAATGCTTTCGGAAGAATTTATCATTATTTAAAGATGCAAAGCAAAGAAGCGTGTCTGCTAGTGTCTTGTGACTATGAAATATTAAGTAAAAGTGTCAGATTCATTCTGTGAGGTGTGTGAATTGGTCTGTTGCCATAAGGAGAAAAGTCACTGGTGAGGGACTTGTCTGACTGCAGATATGTTCTTACAAACAACAAGGTGAGTTGACTTTTTTGAGGTAGTACATTCATGCAGTTCCCTTTCCTGGATTCTTTACCTTAGCCTTCTGTATGCATTCTCCCTGCTGCTGGCCCACCTGCACTCTTTACAAATGCTTTCTTGATTGTCTCACTTGTTCTCTTTAGCTGCTTGCTCTTGGGGTTTTATCCTCTAGAGGCAGAAAGACTCAAGCAAAGGCTAAATGAGCAGCTATTCCTTTTGTGGAGCCAGCAGTGACAGCGGAGGGGCTGAAAGAGAGAGAGAGGAAACTTAACCCTGTAGGATTTAGTGTGTGAGGAGGAACAACCAAGCCTACTGAGGTAGAGCTTGGTGGAGGCAGCGAAGGGAGGGAGCATCAGTGAGAAGTTGGGTATGATGCTCCTTAAGCCTAACTGGTGTGCCAGAGGGAAGGGGTGGGCCTGAGCTGACCCATCACACCGAGCTTGAACTCCATCGGCAGGCCACAGATTTGAGCGTGTATGTGATACTGGGAAAACAGCAGTTTCCCTCCCCTCTGAGGAGGGGAAGCCCCATGAAGGCACTGTTTACTTCATCTGTCAGTCCGAAAATCTGTTATGTTGTGCAGGTGCATTTATCTTCTGTAGATTGCTGAGCTGTGAACTCAATAGAAAGTTACATGAGCAGACCCAGTGCTTATCTGAGGGGCTTTAATGAAGTGAATAATGCTGAACAGCAGAGTTCACTTTTTTAGAAGGTTTTTGTACAGAATATCACCCATCTCCCCTTTTAATATATTTTTCTGATACCAGTGAATAGTAGATGTCACTCTTTCAGGCTCCGCATTTGAGAAAAATCTAATTAGCATTCTGAATCCCCTCATTTAGTCAGGAGTCTTATTCCAGTAAAAGAAGGCTTTTGTGTTTGGGAAAGCCAAGAAAAACAATGGGGAATTACCCCCACTTGAGTTAAATTGACAGCTTTTGCAACAGTATCATGTTGCATGTGGTGCTTTTAGCCTGCCTGCTTAGTAGGTATTTGCAAATCTAGGCTCCATAGCAAAACAGGGGAAAGGGATGTAGAGAGGCAGATGGTGAGGTGGTACTTGTTGGAAGATTATAGCGTAAATATTCATTGATATTATTGTGCAAATTTTCTGTGTAAATTTTACATTTTAAAAGCTCTCTTGTAATTCAGTATAACTCTAGCTGTTCATAATGAATAACTCATGCACACAGACTTGATGTGGCTTAATATGCAACCCAAGCTGGCACAAAAATCACAAAAAGAAAGAAAAAGTTGTCACCCACGAAGTCGGATTAGTTGTTTGCACTGGGAGAAACTTCCTGATGCAGTAGTACTTAATCTTTTTGTGACACAAGTAACAGCCCAAAATTACTTAAACTCTAAATGTTGCACATGGCCCACTGAAGTGCTGCAAGCATGTGAAATTGTATCTGTAGGAGTGAGAAATGAATACCTGAGTCAGGTCTTACAAACTAGATTTTCTTCATCCTGTCTCATTTGTTGAGCTGAATGTCAAAAATTACTTTTAGATTCTTCTTACCAGGGAGGTCCTGGACCAGACATTATTTTTTACCTAGTACTACAACTACAGTTTATCTAATATGCAGAAGAACTGGGTTCAATTTTGTCCTCTCATTTCCCAGAACATTGACTGTATCACTGATCTGTGTAGTATTTGTAATGAAGGCACATGCAGGCTCTCCTTTTGAAGCTGCTCGGCTTTGCACCTAAAGGTTCAGGAGGAGCAAGCCTGTACATTTATATGTAACTGCAGTGTGCTGCTTTGACAAGCTGCATTGCAGGAGAACCCTCTGCCTGGACTCCCATCTACCTGCAGCACTTAGCCTTGTGCTTACTTTGCACATTGGTACCGATACTACTGCTGTGCAAGATAGCTTCTGTCTTGGTGTTACTGCCTTCAGAATGCTCAGCTGCACATTAACAATCAGGTATTTTTTCTCTGGTGTTCATAGTATGTTACCAAGTTACCTACAGGCAGCTCAGTCTTGTCAGCACAGCAGACAAGGCCTAAAGAATTATATGGTTGCTAGTGACTGTTTATTTTATGATTATTTTTTTTATTTGAGTCATTTATATCACCATCGCAGTGATGCAAACATTATTAATAAAATTAAAGTATTGCTCAAGACCAAATATATGAATGTTCTAAATACAGCTTTTTTTGCACCAGTTGAACATCCTGACTGTTAGTATTTGGTTGGACTGCAACAAAGGGAAGAGTTAAGACTATGAAGAGATTAGTAGATGAACATTGGTCTTATCCATGTTTTATTATTCACCTGTTTATTATAATGAAATCAGTTAAATTATTGCAGCAGCATTTGACTCAGCCTAAAGGCTCTAATGTAAATCCTGCAAGCAGAGTTTTGTTAGAGAGTAAGATCCTTTTCTCACAGAAGCAGAATCTTACTGGTGCTGACTTACTGGGATCTGAATGTTGAAATGATCTGTGGATCTTGAGTGTGTGTGATTTGTGAGGAACAATTTTTATGAATTCAGCATTTTTTCCTAACTTGCATTTCTTAACAATAAAAATGACAGTACTAGGTAAAGGTTTGACCTGAACAGTTAAGTAGCCCATTTCTGCAAGTGATCATTCTGGATTTGAATGGCCTTTTTTGCTTTGCAGAGAGGCCGCACGTGAATGTCGCAGGAAGAAAAAGGAGTATGTGAAATGTCTAGAAAATCGAGTGGCTGTTCTTGAAAACCAAAACAAGACACTGATTGAGGAGTTGAAAGCACTTAAGGACCTTTACTGCCATAAATCAGATTAATTTTGGATTCCTGTTTTCACTTGTCCAGGTGGGCTAGAGACTGGTTCTGGCTGTACCTAGAAAGACAAAGTAAACTTTTTATTTTCTAAACATTTCTTTTTTTCTATGCGCAAAACTGCCTGAAGCAACTACAGAATATACTTCATCTGTGCTTTGCATCAAACTGTGAATGTTCAAGTACTTGCCTCCACTTCTCTCCCTACAAGATTATTTTCATCATCAGTCTCAGCGTGAAGAACAGGCTTCTTTCTCATCTACCCATCCTCTTCAAGGAGTAACAGTGGTCATTTGGGAAGTTACTGTGGGGAGGGTCCTTTTATAATGATTTCAAGAACTTGTGCTGAGCTCTTTCCATTGCCTTAGAGACAGAACCACCCCAGCCTCTTGGTCCAGAGAACTGTGGGCCACAAACATGGAGCATGCATGGTGCAATGAAGAAGCAATGGTTGCCAAATTGGTTTCACATACTCATTATGAACTATAAAAATACACATCTAAGCGGCATGCCAAATGAAAGGCGCTTCACAGTCATGTTCCTGGTTTGGAGATAACATACCTTTTTCAAACTAGCCCAGGAGGGGTTTTTATCTGTAGTCTGTATTAAGTCCTCCTGGACTAGTAAAAACTTCTCCATACCTCAGAAAGAAATGCATTGAAATGAGCTTGACTGGTCAGTTGTTGCTTGTCGAAGCTTATGTGTGCAAGTGTGTTCAGCATTCTGAATGCACAAAAAGCAAACACCAATTTCATAGGATATTGGTTGGGAAATGGTATTTGGGTGGGAAAGGAATTCAGAATAAAAAAGGTACAATAGTGTTGTTTTGAAAACAGTCACATAGAAGCAAGGGTCACATGAAAGCACTGCATATTTGCATGCAGAACAACTAAGCAGTTGAAGCGTGGCCAACTCCACATACATACTCCCTGATGACAGTATGGTCTGTGTCCCAAGTCCTCTCATGCAATGAGGTTATTTGTTTCCCTACCACTATCTTATGTGATGGAAATTATTGTACTCAATGGAAACATCAGCCTGGTTTGCTAGGTTCTTTTTCAAACTTTGAGTCTGCCTTCCATACATAAATGAAATTGCAGTATGACAACTACCAGGACAACCTCAAATATTGAAGAGGTCTTCAAACACAAATGTTCCAGCTTTTTCTTTGTGAGGGACAATATTAATTATTTGAACCTGGCCAGGCTAGCTAAATTCTTAATTTATTCAGAGGATTTTTTCATGTAAAGGATCACATTTACCGAGTAATTTATTCCTGTAAGTAAAACTACTCATGTGCCTCAGATGTTTGCAAGATCAGATTTACTAAGTATTAGAACTTCTCAGAAAGAATCATGCTCAAAAAGAACCAAAAAAGAATGTCAAGAAGTCGTCAAAAGAATGTGTCAGAAAGAATCATGTGCAGTTTGTTTACTGGCCCTCTGAAGTCAGTCTCTTGGTATACTAACTTGGGTCATTTGATGGAGTAAGTTTACTTTGGGCCTCTGGTCAAATTTTTATGAATAGAGACATAGGAATAAGACTCTGGTCTGTACTAATGCCTTGCCTAGTGAAGTATTAGCTAATCTTTTTTTCCTGTTCACTCTGTCTGTTTTCAAGATAAATTTCAATTGTACAATCAGATGAATTAAGACAAATTTAAGATAAATTTCATTGTACAATCAATGTGACATTATAAGAAGAACGTTTGGAAGACTCTGAGCAGTGGAGTCTCAAACAGATAAACAGTATTAAAAGTTCTAGTTTTCTCATTTGAGAGGGCATTCAGTTTCCAAGAGACTTTAAAAGGAGCAGGGTTAAACTTACAGCATTCTTGTTATATCTGGACTTAAACATTTTGGATTACATTTGTATTTCAAGAAGAGAGCATAAGTATCAGAATTATGAAATAATTAATTTTCCAAAGTTTTGAGGGGGTTTATAAATGGTCTATTTTTATCTGCCACAGAGAATTGATTTTCATGTTTTCATTTAACAGAAGATAAATTTATTAGTTTAGCAATGCAAATTTAAAGAAGACCCTAAATTCTCAGCAATGCTTTTATAAAAATTGTCTGATTCTTAAAGTCAAAGAATACAAATACATACAACGGTTACCAGTTTTTCAGAACTAGTTCTGAAGTAGTAATGTTGATAACGCAGGAGTCGTTCTTGTAAAACATGAAGATCATGATGGCCTGATTTACACAGTTATATGGAATGGTTCCTCCAGCTTTGAGAAGCTCAGAAGAGGCTGTACATGCCTACATTAAGGCAGTTTCTTTTGTAGAACCATCCATTTCCAAAAACTTGAGTTTTTGCAGTGAACCTAAAGGAGACTAGCTGTGACCTGAGAGCTGTTCCTAGCGGGTAACGAGCACTGTCTGGCGCTTGCTGATAGTCACTCGGCACAAAGCCTGGTTGCTGAATGGACTGGGGACCCTAAACTGGTACCTGGATGGGGTTCTTCTGATACAGGGTTGGTGCAAATAGGTGCGACTGTGAGGAGAACTGTTACCGGTTTGTCTGTGCGTGGTCTGCGAGTTTAGTTTAGACCTCATTAGCAAGTGACATTTCACTAAGAAAAATAACATTATTTTAAAGTACATGGGGAGCTGCAAAAATATTTTATTTTTATTTGTGCTGCACTGAGGATTTAGGGACTGGGATTTATTTCACAGAAATTTTAAATTACAGTAATAAAAAATTTATTAGACCAAGAACAGGGCTGGCTAGGGTTACCCATACATGCTTTACTATTTGTATTGACCCAAAAAGGAAAGAATATGACACAGACATCCATTCATATGCTATTTACCAAGTAGTGAGGTTGGGGTAATCAGCTTCTATAAACTAAGGCCATTTGGAAGTAGGATGGAAATTATGCTGGCAGGGGGGAGGGAGGGTTAGTTTTATATCTCACAGTTGTGAGTTTTCAAGAACTGATAGCCTGTTTTACCTGAAGAGAGGGTTAGAAAGGGCTAGATCCATTATGTTCATAATAAACAAGAATTGATTTGAAATATAATTTTTGTAATGTCATTATTTTGCAAAACAACAGCACCGATCAGGCAGTTAATATATTGTCAGAGGTGCTCTTTTAATTTAGATATTCTTGGAAAATACATATGTATAATATATGTACATATATATATATATACACACAGTATATAATCTACAGCTCTGAGAGCTTTTAAGTCAGGAATGCTGAGTATTATAGTATATGGAGGTCAGAAAAAATTTTTACTTTTCTGTGTGTGTCTGGGTGTGTGTGGATGTGTGCGCGTGTGTGAAAGCCTCCCCCCGCCCCAGTAGTTCTGGGCTGCATTATTCTAGCGCTTATTACTGATTTGTTTTGTGCTGTTTCTCAGTTATCCATTTTAAAGAATTTTATTTCAACTTTCATGGCTTTTGTGAGGTTTGTTTTTGTTTTTTATTGATAGAGATTTTTGAAATTATGTAAACAGTTGTTTTATAACAACCACCACCCCCCAGAATAATTCACTTTTGTGCTTTTTCTCTTTGGCAGCTATGTATCAAAGGCAAAACAATTGGAAAGGTTGTTAAGGTGTTATTTTCTAAAGGAACCACTGGTAAGACTTCTCTTTTCCTCCTGGGGTAGTGGCGATGCATTTTTATTTAAGCAGCGATTTCAGCAGAATCAGGTAGTTGCCAGCACCATTGTATCTGAAAGCACAATTTTAGCCTGTCGTGCTTGTCAGGACTGTACAGACACCTGTAGGTTCTGGCTATTCCGTAGTTGGCGTTTGCATTGTAGACGAATGTCTTCTCCTGGTACTTGTACATTGGTCAGAAGATTGGTGGGGTGTTTGGAATCATTAAGAGGCCCAGAGAGAAAAAAAAAGTTAGGTTTAATAAGGCAAAACAGCCCTGATAGTTTCTGATCGAAATTTGTACTATAGGTTTTTTTAAATCTGGGCTTCCAGTAGACTGCAGCTGCAAGTAGTCATCTGTTAGTGAAAACTGGCCACTGCTTTTTTTTTATTGTTTTATTTTATTTTATTTTATTTTTTAATTTATGACAGTCAGCCAGTGCTTTCTGTGGGTTAAAGATAAGTCTCCCCATCAAAGCAAGTTCAGTATCAGTGGTTGCAAATCTATGACAATACATAAAGGATTTCATTGGTTTTCTAAGACCCTCTTTTTATTGTCATTTTTTCATCCTCAAGCTGGTTAGTGATGTAACATTTGCCAATGATCTCACCAAAAGGTCATGTATTTATTTTTGTTACACTATATTCTTTGTAAATGTTTAATTAAAATGTGCACTTTTTTAAAAAAAAAAAAAAAAAAAAAGAAAAACACAGAACAAAAAAAATTAAGAGCAATTGGGTGTGCTTGAGAAGCTTCCTGGCACAATTGTTGTAATCCTGCTGCCTGCACACAATTCACTCCTCTCCCCGCAGCAGTTGACTCCTTTGCAAATTTAACTTGCTGATTAGCACCTGGCGTCCAGCAGGCATTACTTCAAAATGGCAGGAGATCTGAACTGGCAGTACAGGAGACTGGAAGGAATATTAAGAGTGTGGTGTCTCAGAGCAGTATGTACAGGATGGATGTGAAATTATTTTTAGAATAGAACTAGTTCAGTGGTCCCAAGTGGGAAAGGGAGGTTAATTTGGAAGGAAAGCTAAACTATTTTTCAGCCACTTTATTCCCCTTTCCTTAATTTGAGATTTGGCCGCAGATTTTACAAGCTGCATTCCAAGAAAATAAATCCAAAGGCTTTCCAGTTCTTTGACACCAGGAAGCAAAGGTACATTGACAATGTGTCACCCTGCTTTAAAAGGTAAAAAAAAAGCACAACCACCTTTCTTTTGCAGGAACAATGATAATTTAGCTATAACCCTGAATCTGTCACTGTGAGCAGGTTTTAAAAGCTTACAGTACATTGATGGTTCTCTGTACTGTGCCTGGGAACTCGTTTCCCTGAGCTTTTGACTTTGCTAGATGTAAAAGACACTGATTTTGCAGAAACCTGAATGTATCATGAAGCTTAGTTGGTCTGGGAGGAGCCAGACTGATGAAGAGAAACAGGGTGCTGAAATCCGATCTACTGTGTGCTTGTGACAGGTTCAGGTCTGTGGATGGATGTGGCTTAGATCTGTACATCTCTGGGGAAAAGGGACCAGATCCAGTGGGTAAAGAGGGTTTGCATTTCAAGTGTTTTGCCTTGGAATATGGGGGGTTTTTTAATGGATTGAAGCTCTGGCCCTCAAAGAGACTTGCTTGGGCCAGTTGGCGTAGCACAAATGGAAGACAGTGAGCTGTTGGCGTTCTGGCACTGCCAATGCCGCTGGTGCATCGCCGTACAAGCGGTGAGTTCGGGTGTCGCTTCCAGCAGCAAGAGGCAGGTGAAGCAGCTGTGCTCAGGAGCTGTGTGCTGGCGGGGAAGGGGCCAGGGACAGGCTGTAGTGATCCACGGTTGGCGCGCTTCATAAGCCGACCACTTGCTATACTCACGACTTGGGAGCAGTTGGTTCACTGACTCTCAGCCTCAGCGGTGTATTTCTCTAAATTAGGGGATAGCTGAGTGAGAGCACGGGGAAGGAAGGCCTTGAGCCAGTTAGTTATCTGGAAATGGCCACTCTTAAGAACTACGGATGTTCGGATGCTCTCTACAAGTTGTGTTTTATCCAGGTGCCACTCCGTTTTTTGTGTGTGTAATGACATTTATTTATATTAAAACATTAATTTTAAAAAGCTCTAGAACTTAGAGTTTGTATGAGATTTGAAACTGTGCTGCTTATATGGACTTCTAGGAATGGGATGGGGAACAGGGCAAGAAGAGGTGCTAGTTGGCAGCCAACCCCTCCACAGACTTGTCCACAGATTGGTTGTTCAACTTCAAAAATGATTTGTTTCTACTCTGGATTTATAATTTGAAATTATTTTGGAACAATGTTTTTCAGGGAAGCTTCCAGAGCAAGGGTTATTATTCCCCCTTTGTAATGTAAGCTGGGAAGAGTAACTTCACCTCATTTGCATTTCTGATTCTTTACTCAAACCATGTCAGCACAGAACAGGGTATTTGAGCTTGACTCCCACATACTTGTGGAAGTTAAAAAAGACTAAAGGAAAATCCATTATTGGGGGAAAATAAATTCTTATTTACATCTCCCCAAAAATCTAGGAACATCCCTGTTTGTTTTTTTGTTTTGTTTTTTTTTTTACTTATTTTTTTGTGCTTTATCTGTGTTTTTAAAAAAAAAATGTACTGGGTTATAATGCATTTTATTAACACTATGTACATACTAGACGCTTTGTGTTTCAGAATGGTAGTAATTGCTTTGTATATTAAAGTGATTCTTGTGAATTTGTGAATTATTGTCATAAAGAAGTGCTTTTTCTTACTGTAACCTTTGTGGTATAAACTGTCATAACTCCCTTTTTACACAAACATTTACGTGCAGTCACATAAACATGCTTTAAAAAACTCTACAGAGTCTCTTTTTTGAGCAGGTTGTTCCATTTACACTACTTTAGTGGCAAATGGTAGCTAGATGGGAATATGGGAAAAGGCATACTTCAAGCAGACTGTGGTGTCCTCTCATGATCTGTGGCCTGCTGTAAGTATTCATGAGATATTTTCCCCAAAGGGAAGGCTTTTTGAATCTTAATTAAGTTGGATTAGTGATAGGTGAGGTCCTGAAAAACAAAGTTTCTTTTCCACTTCTGGTATTTTTAAACCTGCTTTCCAGTATCCATTCTGGTGGCAAGTAGTTCCATTGTTTAATAAAGTGTGAAAGACTTTTCCCTTTCACAGTTTAAATATGCTGTCTTTCTCACTTTGAAGCATTCCTGTAAAACATGTACTACTGATGTTAATAGCAGAGCAGAACAGAAGGCAGCAAACACTGCAAGGATCACAACCCAATTATGTAATCTGCAAGGCTGGATACAAACACTGGGATGAAAGCCAGAAGAACAAATTCAGCACTGAGGTAAACACACCTCCAGTGAAATCAAGGGGAAGCAGTAAGGTCAGCTCATTATGGCTAGGATTTTGTGCTTTTCACAACAGTGTTTTCATAGTGCCATTCACATACTTGCACGGAAAAAATCTACATCTCTGTAATGAGGAAGAATCACAAGCAGGGGTTAGTCCATGAGATAAAAATGCAGTTTGGGTTGAATTTCACACTGAAAAGAATCGGGTAACACAGATCCCTGTGCAGTCAGTAGGTCAGCTGGTAAACCTGATTCTTCTGACACTGCTGCACCTTGAAGCTCTTTGTCCATAAGGTACACAGCTGAATTTCATACTTTGTGTCTTAATATTGATCAAACATGACTTCGGTTGCAATAGCATTTTAGAAGTTTGTTCCCTTGTGGAGTGGCATGCTTCAGGGATGGTTTCACAATCTCACAGCATGTTCACATCTTATCTGGTCGCTTCCCTGTGACTTGGATGCTCTCCTTAGGGTGAATATTTTATTTCTCAAGAGACTGTTTATGCATTGCCCCACTACTCAGGGACCCATGTCCAAACACATCCTCCCCGCAGATGAGTTCATATCTGTTACAAAACAGGACCAATGCAATGGAACCACCCAAAGGAGAATCACACTGACTTCTCTAGTGCTGGGATGAACAGGGTGACAGAGGGTGCTTGGGCAGGGTGTTAGTGTAACTGCCAAACAGCCACTGAAGCATTACCATGCATCATCTCATGCTACAGCAGAAACTCAGCTGGGACCAGTAGATCAGGACACCAGAGTTTGCAGGTGTCATCATGGAGGGTGAACTCAATGGGCAATTACACCTCTGCTGCTTCCGTTCCACATGTCTGGTGTGGTTCACTCCTGACATCTCGCTGAAAGCTAAGTGTGATGGGAATATAAAAAAGCTGGGAAGCCCAACCTGGGACAACAGAAGGCACTGCTCACTGCCTGGTGCAGGTGGGTGTTGGCGCTGCCCGGTAGGAATGGGCTGTAGCTTCCAGCTGAGTTGTGTTCTCACGGTTGGTGCCTGCCCCTAAACGCTGGAGCTTAAAAAGCGACCAAAACAAACGTGCTTGTGGTGGTGGCCTAACCACCATGTTCTGGGGTCTGGTCTCCTGAACCTAAAGGAGGTGCCCACACCCCAAGAGCTGTCAGAGAAGAAGGTGTCCCCTTGAAGGAGTGCCACTTGCTGAGTGCACCCCTTGAGGAGGGGCCACCCACAACTCAGCTCTGCAGGGCAAGGCACTCACCTGAGCTGCCAGTGTCATCTCACGCTTTTCTCCACAAGTATTTAGTTACGGGCAGTAGCATTACTTCAGCCTTCAAACGTACTCCCTCGGGTTTGCATACAGCTGCTGAGCAACAGCAACATAGCAAAAGGAGCCAGGCCTGGTCTCACAGGAGGGCTACAGGCTGTAACAGTAGCAATGGGAAAACAGAGGCTGAAAACTAGCTAAACAATTAGAAAGAGATGCAATTAAACTAACTTGTTTTAAAAGTACAAAACTTCTATTGTCAAAGCAAGGCCTGGAGCAAAGCCCCCTTCTTGAAAGTGTGTAGGTTGCTGAACTAGGCTTTATTCTGTGCTATTTAAGCAAGCTTTTTAAGCATGTTCTTACTATGGCAACAGCACAAGCTGCTAGGGTTCTCACTATTGCAAGCTGTAGCCTCTTGCGAGGGCCGAACACAACCAGGTAGCAGGCTTTCCCCACTGACCAAGTCACACGTGCTCACAAGCCCAGGCACCAGCATGTTGCCTTCTGCCTGCTCCAGGCTGGGGGGGCCTAATATATGGTTACCACAGATGAGCTCAGAGACAAGGAAACAGCAGTGCGGACGAAGAGGAGTGGTAAAAACTTAGAGCCACACTCCGAAAACTAGAGCCAGAGAGAGGGTGGGGAGAGCTTGTAATTTTTTTCAACCATTGCTCGCCCAGTTGATAGAAGTCACATCTGGCACATTAAAGCTCATATCATGTTTTGCTTTTAATTAAAGGTGCTGTCTTCCTTCACTCAAAAGGACTTCAACTCTAGGTTCAGACTGCAAATTCCCACCCAGCTGCGTAAGTACTGTTTTAGTGACACCATGTGGCTTCTGAGGATACTGTTGTGAGTGTAGATCCAAGAAGGAACTTAACTGAAAATGTACAAGAGATGTGCCAAGGATGAAGCACAAGACCTCCGTGCCTCATTCATGAGAGCTGCAATGGTAACTGTCATTTCCAGATTACAGTCTGCACATCAGTTCTGAACCACAGACCCTCTGCATCTTTTCTAGTTAGGAAGTTTGATGGAAGCAGAAGTGATAACATCCATGGCCCAAAGCAGCTGCTGGTGTTTGCTGTTGCTAGTGCCAAAGACATGCACACACTCCAAGCCTGAACCTTACCTGAGGCTTTGTAAGTTAAGTTTCAAGAAAAAAAAATATTCCACATCCACCAAAAAAAAGTGCTATAGTAATTCCTGCATTTAGAAGTGTAGCCATCTTCTGTTAGCCCACTGTTCTCATCAGTTTCATTCTTCCACCACTAGAAAGAGAAGGAAGTCTGCTGCTGGTGCAAGCCAGATTCCAGGCTTCAGCATTTTTCACATAGGATCTCGTGGGATAAACACACAGAGGTGTTTTTACAGTCTCAAGGTAGCATCTAACTACCATTGCGCACAGAAAGCACACTGAAAACTAGACACTGCCCCAAGGTCCCGAGTAGTACAAGAATAAGTACTTCCCCAGCTACAAAGCCTTTATAGCAGCACCCTCATCTCCTAAATAACAGCTCTCAGAGTGAGCCAGAAACGAATGCAAAGTGGAATGTTATTCAGCAGTACACTGAGACTCAGGGACTGATTTGATATTTAAAGAACAGTTTAAGTCTCCTTGTTTCACTTTCCCTGCTGGAACATGTGGATGTGTATCTGGTCCAAAGCGCCTTGAACTGTGCAAGGGAAAGTTATCCTGTTAGGGACCACCCAAGAATCATGACTGCTTCAGTACTACAGGTGTAGCCTCCACGCTTGCAAGTCAGGTAAAAACACCACTGATTTCTAAGTTGGCTTACCCCGCAATATTGATTCCTAACCCACTCACGTACACAGATCTTCGTCTTTGTTTCCTTTTGCCACTTCAATTCAGCAGTGACAGCAACAGAACAACTTTATAGCTGTTGCCTTTGTTGGTTTTGCCCTTTAAGTGGCTTTTTACCACAACTTTTAAGATGCAGAAGGTCTGCCATGTTAAAGCATTTAGAGCTGGAGTCTTATCTTATATTTTATCCACTTTTTTAGAGTTAAAGAAGTGATATGGGGAAAAAAAAACAAAACACTACTCTGTTTCCCACAAAAAGGTTTGATTTTAACCAGCAGGTCCTTTGATGAGATTTTTGATGCCTGCAGATTTCTGCAACTTAAATCAATTTCAAAAATTAGATTTGATAAAAAGTCAGTAGAAGACCCTACACAACTACTGAGAAATGAAGCAGAGGTTCAATACGCGGAACAGAAATACAGTCCTTGCTGTATGAGATCAAGTGATCAGACGAGACCATCAGAACAAGAAGCCAGTGAAATAACACAACTGCAATTATATGCTTAGGAACAAGTATATTGAGTAGAAGTAAGGGAAGGATTGAACAGCATCAGTGGTTTACTAACAAAGCACAGATCAAAAGTCATCCTTGCGACTTCCCCTCTGTGCTTTGTAGATATGAACATCCTTACTGGAATCATAGTGGACCTCATATACAGAGAACCGGCCTCTCAGCATCTTCAGGAATTTGTGATCCCGTTCATAGCGGATACGACAGGAAAGCAGAATCACAGTTTGCTCTGAGCACAGGTGCTCCAGCGTCTGAAGCAGTTCTGCGAAAGTTTCTTCCAGATAAACGATGTCTGCACCCAGGATGAAGTCAAATGCTCCTGGAGGGAAGTTACCCAGGTCTTTTCCCCAAGTCAGTTCCTTCACCACAGCTCTCGGATGTAGTTCAGAAGGTAAGTTAGCCTGTACGTTTGACTCCAGGAGCTCCAGTGCTGCCGCCCTGTCTGTGATGGTAACACGAGCACCTAAGCAGTACAGGAGTATATGTCTCAGACAAATAGTTGATGTCCATAAATACAGCATTTGGAATACAGTGCTTTAAGTCAAGCAGGCTCCTTAGTTCCTGTTAAACATTAACAACTCCCCTGAGCTGCCTGATTAAAAATAAACAAACAAAAGAACAAAACAAGCAAAAAGCCCACTATCTACATACATCTTACCCTTCATCAGTCGCTTAAGAATATAAAGTCTATTCCACATCAAGTTTAAGTTGGGTAGGGAACAAAAAGTGTTTTCTGGAGCTTTTTCATAGTACGTGAAAGTAGAGGAGTTACTTTCTGCCTTTCCATAGGCAGCAACAGTAAATTACAGGGATTGTTACAATTAGCCTGCTCCAATTCCGTATTTGTTCAGTAGGAGAGAGGTGGCTAGAGAGCCTCTTTCACAGGTCAGACAAAAGTTATGCCTGTGTGATTTTGCATGGCTTGACTGTATTTTGTCAAACTGCTTTGTTTTTATTATTTCAGTAGACACCTTCCACAGCCACTAGAGCTTTGAATTACAAAGTTAACCTGCAACAGTTAGCACAAATTTAACATAGCACCTGGTCCCCACCTCAGCCACAGACAGATCACAGGCAAATCACTTAATTTCTCCAGACATTGGTCTCCCTGTCTGCAAGATAGGCTAACAAGGTTTACACAAGCTGAGAGTGGTTTCTGTCTGTAGCTTTATCTGTGCTGCAAAGGAGGACAAGTGGAAGATGGCAAGCACAGTACTTGCTCCCTGGGGGAGAATAGCTGCAGAACTGAATGCTGCTGAGCAGAGTACCATGGTAACAGGCATCAGCCTTAACAGGGTCCCACCATAAAGTAAACTGCAGTGGCACCATCGCTACAATAAATAACGCAGCAGGCTCTGAAGTCTAACAAGAAAGGAAAATGACTCAGACAGGAAACATCACAGTTCACATATGTAGCTTTGGTGTTAACTTCCATACCAGGCATGTAGATGTAAAAGTGCCAGTTTTACTACAGTTGTAAATTGCTTTAAACAAATAAACAAAAAAAACCCTTACCTAATAATGTGGCCACTATTCCCAGCAATCCAGTTCCAGCTCCCAGCTCAATCACAGACCGATCCCTGAGATCAATGCCTCCCATGTCCAGATAAGCACACAAGACAACAGCCTACACCAAGAAACAAAGGCAATTAAGCACAGGGCTCATTTCAGTCATACTGAACACTGGCCTTCTTATTTACACTGAGAGCTAAAGTTATGGGAAGGGTCAGGCACTTCAGGCCTGCAGTAAGACTTTGTTCAGCCCTTTTCTGCCTCCTGTGTGCACATGTGGTCTTTTTTGAGTTTTATGGAAGACTTACAGGCAAAAGGAAAAAAGAACCATTGAGGCTACAACTCAGATGTGGCAACACTGCTTCATGAATCCTCAACAGGAGGCAGAAAGAGTTGCATTTGGAAAGGAAAAGCTGGGGGGTGTCAAACACTGGTGAATGAACAGAGTATTGCAAAAGCACAGTACCAGGTTTCGTAGTATCTTGCGTGGTATATCAAAAGGTTTCTGCCCAACACTGGCATGTCCTCAGGAAGGTCATAGAGAAAGTAAAGTAATAACACTTCCACCTGTTTGTATCTAATGTGTGTTGCATTTTACAGAAATCTTGACACGGAGCACTCTCCATAGCAAGTTCTGTCGAAGCCTGTCAGGAAAGGCCAACAGCCCTGTGCACCAGTTTGAGGCGTTTGCTAAAATTGCTATGCTTGTTCTTTCAAGCTAAAGGTAAAAGTGCAATTTCTGTGTGGACAGAGACCTGAGCGATGGAAAGCCCTTGGATTCCTGCAGCTGTTCTGCAACTGACTGCCCTGCAGCCTTGGGCCTGCCACACACCCTTCTGTTTTGGATGGTTCTTATCCCCAAGATAAAGTCTATTGGTGGTCCCTCTCGAGCTACAAGCAGCAGGATCCGTGCTGTACTCTGAAGAGCATTAAACAAACATCATGGGCCACTGTGAAGAAGTGGGTGAGAGTTCTGTGAGTTATCCAGAATATTTCCTGTATTTGCCACTGGCCATGCAGGGTTGAAGATGGCCCATTTCCCCTGCTGTCCTCCAGGATCTCTTACGAGAAGACAAAAAGGGGGGGAAGGGGGGGGGGGGGGTGCGGCGCGGCTGGAACGGTTTCTTTTTGTAAAAAACAAAATCTTACGGTGAAAAAAAAAAATCCTTACCAATCCGATGTTAAATATTTTTCTAAGGCGATTCTGAAAGCTAGGGCAAGCGCTACAGGAAGGCACCGGGCACAGAGACCCTTCACTTGGCGGAACACCTACCGCATCCCAGACCACGGCCGCCACTCCCAGCCGCCGCCAGTCCTGCCGCAGGCGGATGGTGCGGCTGGCGAAGCGGTAAGTGGCCGCCGGGCTGTGCAGCCGCCGCGCTCCCCAGCCGCCTTCCTCCTCGTACGGGACCAGGGCCATCCCGCCGGCGGCCGATCGCCCCCCGCGGCCTCCGCCGGGGCCCGCGCCGCCGCCCGAGGCCCGGCCGAGGGCCGGGGAAGGCCCGGAGCCGCCGCGGGGAAGGGCCCGGCTCTCCCTTGTGCCCGGCGCCGGCCCCTCGCCGCTCGGCTCGGCCGCTACTCACAGGCCGCGGGCCCGGGGCCGCCGCCGCCACCGCGGAGCTCAAGGCCCGGCCCCCAGCGCCGCGGCCTGGGGCGGGTGCGGCCTCCCCCGGGCCGCCGCCCGGCTGGGGAACAGCGGCGGGGCCGGCGGCGCTCAGCGGCCTCCCCTGGGAAAGATCGGCGGCGGGGCGGGGGGGGCGCGATCAAATCACGGGTAAAGAGGGCTGAGGCCGGGGCTGGAAGGTCTCTAGAGCGCTCCCGCCCCTCAGCCGCGGCGTAAGCGCTTTGCCCGCGCCCGTCGCGGCGAGGATCCCGGGGGGGAAAAGCATCGCGCCGGTCCCTGGGGAGGGGCAGGGCCCCGGGGGCTTCTCGCATTTTCAGACCTGCGTGCCACAAGGTGCAAAACGCCTTTCAGGACATCGTCTGCTGTCCCTGCAGCCTCGCTGCGGCTCCGGCTCGTGGCTTTTTGTTTCGGGGGTTTTTGTAAGTCGGTGCAAAAGAAAGGCGTTTGTCCAGCCCACCAGCCTCACCCTCCATGGCTGGCACAGCGAACGTGGTCTCTGCAAGTGCTCATCACCAGCCTGGAAGCGGCCCCTCAATAACTGGGTAACCATCGCAGAAACACAACAGCTCTTCTGCATCTCGCTCAGAGCATTGACCGAGGCAGTGAAGCCAAATTGCTCTTGGCTGGCGGTGTGGCAGTAACGCCCCTGCGGCACTGTTTGTGGATGGGCTTTCTCTTCACCTTTGGCTCCATTTAATCTCTTGTCTGGCACAACAACACAGTGCTCCTCTCGTTTGTGTGCTTCCATCGCTAGTTTCTTGAACTTGCCCCAAAGACTGCTAAAGGCCACGGGAGGGCCAGGGAAGTGTCCTGGCAGTGCTTGGGCTCTGGCTGCCTGGAGGCACTGCTGCAGGTACTCCACAAAAATGTGTCGGACCTCCAGTGTGCTCCTCAGCCCCTGAGAGGGGCCAGGCCTCATCTACAGAAGGTCACACGTGGGGGAGCAGGGCACGGGAGCAGCATGCCTTCCCTGCACCCATCTCCAGTGGCTCAGCAGCTCCCAGTGTCACCAGCGACGGGGCAAGGCTGGCCCTCAGAGTTGGGGAGCGTAACCAACTCCAGAAAACATCCCCACTCTTTCCCACAGGGAGCAGCAAATCTGGCTGGCAGACAAAAGTGAACGTGGTTACTCTAAAAGCTGTTGATTTCAACAGAATGGCTCAAGATTCATGAAAGTCTTTGTGGAGGAGTGTTACAGGCTGCACAGGGGTAGCAGGAACTGAAGCTTGTTTTTAGGGTTCTACTACTGTAGGGGAATGGAAACCAGACTCTCACTTGCCCTAAACCAGTTCATACTTGTCTTATGGCAACTTAGACTTCTCATAAACATGCCAGAGTGGGTGTGATGATTCAGCTTACTGTGGTTTTATGTCCTAAAGTGCTGATCCCTTGCCACTACTCCTGCTTTTGAGAGTTTGAAAGTGCTTGTGCTATTATCTCAATTATTTTTTTAATTATTTATATAGGTTGTGTGGGAAAAGCAAAGAGAGTGATTACACTTGAAATGAGAACTTTGCTTGGATGAGTTTTTGAATCACATACGCTGTGCCTAAACAAATGGAGGCAAATGGAGGGAAGCTCCCAAGTGGCACAAAGCTTTTGCCTCCACCTCCCGTGCCACATGCCAGCCCTGGGATCTCCAACCAAGATGTGGAGGAGTGTGGCAGGGTTCCAGTGCTCCCAACTTCTTCCTTTTCCCCCCACCCCAGATCAGTTTTCTACCGCTGCAGCATTTCGTAAGACCAGGGGTCTGACTGAACAGCAAATAGAGTGAAAAAAGACTGTATGTGAAAATTTATACATTTCTTCCCAAAGACGATAACACAGTGAGTGGTTTTATCCCATGGATGTGTTTTTGTAAGTCAGATATCCCTGAACATCTTTGGAGCCCAGCAGGTTCTTTACCAATCCGGCTCTGCTTCCCAGAACTACTTTCCCTTCTTCCCTGCTAATGTTACTTTGGCACTGACTTCTATGAGCCTTACACAGGAGATCAAAAATTACTTTCCAGATCATAACTGGATAGCGAAGCTATTAAAAGGGAAACAAGTCTACTTGCCCTGATTCCCAATCCAGGCCCTGATTCCCCATATTCACTCTAAGTCTGTATTTACCTGCTTTTCCCCTTTCCATATCCATTTTCTGAGAAGATAGAGTACCCAGATATTACAGTGACAGAGAAAGAGACTTGGTTTCTTCCACCCTTCCTAACAGTAAAAGGATAAGGAAAGTGCAACAACAAAGAATTATGGCTAAAACAGTTGCCCAGAACTGAAACGCTTTTTCTCCCAGCAGGGCTAGAACTTAGCACAACAGTGAAGTTGCAGGAATGTAGCCTGATTCAGCCTTTTAAACACTGCAGAAAGCTGTAAGGACACCTAAGCGGCGGATAAATTTGCAAAGTAGGAAATAGCTGATTTTAAGGTAAGCAAGAATGACTTAAAGTATAAAGAAACACCGATTCACGTCCATTCTTATCTCATTCACCTACTTGATAGAGCAGGCATAATGTGTCCAATTATAAGTAAATCCTGCTACCTCAGATACAGGTAAGCTGCTTGGGGTAATTAAGAAAAAGTGTTTCAGAGCAATGGTCCTTGTAATACTTAGAAGATCAAAGAATCGAGTAGATGAGCCAGAAATTAGTACAAATTATTTTGAAGCTATACTAATATACCTCTCTTTCTGAAATCTTCTCTTTCCTGCTTAATATTTAAAGTCTTCTCTTAGAAATAAATGTGACAATCCTGTTGATAGTTCTGCAGACACTGCATGTACCTCATGGCTGTGCATGGATTTTGGAGCCATCCATGATGTGGGGAAAATACTGCATCTCTCACACAGTCTCTGGTTACCAAGGCAAAGGCAGGTATAAATAGAAACAATCTGCTTTTTTTTTAAAAAAACTATCTAGAAACCTGTGTTGTTCATAACCCTCTGACAGCAACGCCTTATTCCAAATGGTTCTGTTCTACATTTGTGTAGAAACTTCTGGTCATACACATTTAATCCTTCCCTCTCTAAATAAATAGCAGCTACTTCTGATTGTCATTCCACTGAAATACAAAAGCTGTCTTTTAAGTAAAGTTTGGACAAATAGCTATTTTGCTAAGAGCTTTCATCAGCCAAACAAACACAAGTTAACACAAAGCTTGAAGGAAAACCTGGAAGAGAAAGCGGTCTCTCTCCCTAAGTAGCACCATAAGTGGCCATTGAAATGACTAGCAGTGAAATGATTTAACAATTTTTACATTTTCACTTTCACCAGTAGCTTCCAGATTCTCCACACCAGTGAGATAGATGGGGCGGTAAATAAACCAGAGATTAACTTGGCTGATGATGTCTTGCAGTTGCAGAATCAAGACAGCCTCAGCTTGAACTAATCTGGATCATCTTTGAAAGCAATGGGGTGAATTAATAAATACCAAAGTTTCTGCAGAAACTGACAAGTTATCAGTAGACCTTGTAACTTGCTGTTTCAGCAAGATCCTTGCAAAAAATGTTAAATGTTGAAATAAGTGTATGGTCTGATCTAGCATGTAATTTCCTTTACACACAGAGTTACATTAAACAATGGAAGGAATGAACAAAAATATGAAGAAGTGTAATTTTATAAGTGCTTGAGCTGAAATGCAGGAAGTTTCTGGAGCCTCCAAAGAGGGAATAGTTCCCGTCAGTAACATTACATTCACGTCTTCAACCTCGCATCTTGATAAACTGTCATACATAATCACCACATTTATTAAAATGTCTTGTTACAGAAAGATCACTTAGCTTTTAGTGGAATTATGTGACCTCGCAGGTCTGAGAGATGACATTATTCTGAGGTTTTAATTAAAGAAGAAAAAGCAAAATGAGTAAGCTCTTCTCAAGCAGTCACTGCAGTTCCAGCTGCACTTCATTTGCTGGAAAGCTCCTCCACTTAACACTGCACTTTCAGATGTTCACAGACCTACAGCCTTACCCGCATCTCCAGTTGATGGACTTCCAGGCCACAAGGTGCCACGTGTCGGGTCTTGTGACAGGAGAGTTCCTCAGCCACGGGAGTGACTGATGCATGAGTGGGCATCGGTGTGCGCACGGGTGGGTGCCGGGATGGGCTGCCCCGGCAGCGCTCCCACGAGCGTAGGGCTGTGGTGGGGACATCACGGTGCAGTGCTGTGATTTCCCTCCTCCACCAGCAGCTTCTGTACTCCTTGCAGCTGGTTGATGGTTGTCGGCCAGGGTAACGTGTGTGTCTGGCGTGTGGGATACTAGGGTGGGGTAAAATGCTGCAAAAACCACCCTTTTGTGGAGCCTGAGTGTGGATCTAGAAGCTTAATGTTAGGTGGCCAAATTTCTGATGTGCTCTATAGGTGCAGTGTTATGTAACTGGAGAGGAAATTACACTACAAGCTTAATTAATTAAACTGTAATAGCTCAAGGGTAATGTATTAATAAAGGTACACTGTATTAATTTAAAACTGGTTAACAGCAGCTAATTTTAAAAAAGAACAATTATATGGACAGGCGGACAAAAGCTATAGCATTCGTATAGATGCAATAGCATCTGCCTCGATACAAAGGTTACCTTTTAAAACCAAGCAGAATCCAGGTTTATGAAAAATGTGGGGGTTTTAGTTTTATTTGTAACGGTATTGACAGCATTTCTCTTCCCCACTCCTTAGAAGACAATGGAGAAGAAGCAACAGTCAAGTCTAAGCAGTCTCGGGTACCTTAAAGCCAATAGGAAGTGCTCCTCAGAGCCTCCTTCCAGGCTTTAGTGGTCCAGGGTTGGAATTAAACCTTTAGAAGCTTGCCCTAAACAAACTTACTGCAGGGCTTACACTGCAATTTGACTTTTCTGAATGAAGTCATGCATCCATGTTAATGTTTGTGTTAAAATACTGGAAAGCATTTTCCTTTTCCTCATAGGAAATTTGTATTCATGACCCGCAGTAACAGCTACTTCTAACACTTGGTACATCAAAACAGTAGTTCTTTCTGCCAGCCGTCTGCTCAGAAGCACACAAAGCACAGCTTTGCAGGCCTCCATCTTTCTTGGCTTCAACACATCTCAAATTCTCAGGTACTAAGTCTCCATGAACTCTACCTTAGCCTTTGATAATCATGAAGCTAGTTTTATTCTACCTTAAGGCAAAATGAAGATCAGAATGGATCAGAAAAGAGAAGCTAAGGTAAAGAAACATTAACTCGCATATGTGTGTGCCGTTGGTATCCCTGCAGTGATCCAGATGCTCGCATGCTAGCTGAGAAGCCTCTGCATTGCCTGTAATGACATCTTAGATTGCTGCAGAGGCAAAAGGACGAATTTAATCAATGACACCAGCACTGCAGTCTGTCCTTATGCTATGAAAGACGGTCTCCCTGCCCTGGTTTGCATGTATTCACCACTAGCCAAGGGTAATACAGAAGATTTAAAACTATGAAAATCTAAGGCTAATGAAAATCCACTTTATGTGTTCTGAACAACCTCACTGGTTACTTTTTTCCCCCAAAACACTGGAATTTTCTATTTCCCCAACTACTGTTTTGCTTCAGGCTTTTTCCCTTAAATGGCCATAGTCTTATGTTACTTATCAGCTTCAAAAGACAATCACGCCTGCAATATTTTTGTCCTGTCAGCTGGTAGTGGATTTCAAAACAGGATGCCTATTTTTCCCCCCATTATTTGCAACAGTGAGACACAGAAGTCTGAGCTTTTGTTTTCGGTTGGTTACAGAGGTTCAACCTGGTGATTCATTCTTCCTGCAGCTACATTTCCAGGAAAAGACAAAGTCCTGGCTCTTCTCCAAGTTATCCATAGACTGCTTGAGAGTAAGATCAGAAGGCACTCCTTCTGCAGCTGAGACACTTTCTAAGAAGGGAGAAATTGAACAAAACACATCCCAAAGCTGGCCTTATCACCCTGCAGACAAGCAAGGAGGCACATGGCCTTGGAAAGACATGTGTGGTACTAAGTCAAGACGAAGATAACAGCAGAATTTACAGGATTTAAGATTCTTGGCCCTGTGAAGCATTTGCAAGGAGCCATTCTCCATTTATGGGACTGGTATTGACTGTGAAGCTGGATGGCTTGCGGAAAATCCCACAATTAATTTCAAGGATTTTAGGAGACTCTCAGCTTCTTGTTGCAGTTGGTGTGGGCAAGAACATACCCTTGGATTTGGGAATTTTTCAAGAGTCGTTATTCAGATAGGAGCTGGTAACTATGGTTTCAGATGTCTCCTCTCAGGGATACTGCTGCTCACAAATGAAGGGAAGCCCGATTTTGCATCATGAAGCAAGGGACTACAGGGTTGTGTGGTTATGAACACAAGCGCTAAGCTTTTGGAGGAGTTAAATAAAACCACGCACAAATCTACTTACAAGTAGCCATCGCAGGAAATGTAAGGACTTGTCTGAGAAGTTGAGTTCCTTTGAACATAAGCAGGCAGCGGCTCATGCGTAAGGGGCAAATGGGCCAAGTAAAGAGACAGAATTATCTTCCCCGGTGAGCCCACAAGCCAAAACACAGCTGGTAG